CACTCACGCACTCACTCACTCACTCACTCACTCACTCAAAAAAGCATTTTAACAAACACAAACCGATGCAAGGTCGTTTTGGTGACGACTTTGCAGGTAAGGTCTCAGAAATCTTTGAGCAGCTGTAGAATAACCTCACCTGATTTATTATGTTTCTCTCGTCCTGTACTGATTATCACCTCAGTGCTTTAGATTGAAAGACATGTACTATTCTAGTTAATGTATCGGCATGGTGTTAACACCCCCACTAAAAACACAAACAACAACAACAACGACGACAACGACGACAAACATAAGCACACAAAAAACAATAAGAAAAACCAAACCATAGATCACACACTAAAGATGCAGCAACAACAACAACAAAAAACAGTATAAAAGAGCAGCCCCCCCCCCCGTATCTCCCCTCACATACTTTCAGCTGATCAAAGACTTCATGAACACCACCCAGTACAACCGGGATGGGAGCTACATGTCAGACCAGACCATCCGCAACCTGTGGGCCCTGACAGCCTCCATCTTCTCTGTGGGAGGGATGATAGGGGGCATTACAGGGGGCTGGTGGGCCACCAAGCTGGGACGGTGAGTGAAGACTAGGCCGTGTGAGCTAGGCCAAAGACATCAAGATATTTTCTTTTTTAGTTTTAGTGAGTGTTTTATGGCACTTGCAACACAATAAGGTCATATATAAAGTGCCGAAGATTAGAGGTTTACAAGAGAGTAACAAACACAAAAAAGAAGGAGGGGAGATAAAGACAATAGATGTTTGATAGAAAAGAAGAAGCTAACCCCACCAGAGCACACGCCAACCACCCACTGATATTTTCTTTTGTAACGACATGACAAGATAATAACAACAACAAAATAATTACTTTAGAAACAAGAAGAAGAAGAAGAAGTTTTATAATAGCAACAAAGCTACGACAAGAGCTATAACGCACAACAACAAGACTGACTTTAGTAATAGCAACTATAAGAAAAAGTTTAATTATAACAATAAAACTACAAAAACATGACAATGGCAACAACAATTGCAAATCACCATCATCATCATTGTCAACAACAACAACAGCAACAGCAGCAGGAGCTTGATGAAGAACAACAACAACAAAACAACAACAACAACTACAATAACAGCAGCAACAACAATAACAAAAAACAACAACAACAACTAAAACAACAACAACAACAACAGCAACAACAACATGAAAAAGAAGAAGAAAATCTGTTTGTTCATTGTTCCTTGAACATATACATATATTGTCAATTAACTGACCACCACCTACTGTGTGCTTTATTCCAGGAAAGGAGGGAGTCTGGCCAACACTGCTATTGGTATTGTTGCCGCAGCCCTCATGTTCGCAAGTCGACGATCAGAAGTTTATGAGCTTGTCATCATTGGAAGGACTATCGTTGGCATACACAGTGGTTAGTCACTTGACTGTTCATTTGTTCATTTGTTCATTTGTTTGTTTATTCATTCATTCATTCATTATTCGTTTGGTTTTTTTATCGTTCGTTCTTTCATTCATTTATTAATCCATTCATTTATTCAGTTATTTATTTATTTATTTATTATCTATCCCCCCCCTCCCCAGGTCTGTACTCGGCTCTGAGTCCCATGTACCTGTCAGAGATCAGCACGCCCAACATCCGCGGCGCGATCGGCGTCCTCCATCAGCTGGCTATTGTGTCTGGCATGTTGGTCTCCCAGATCCTGGGGTTCCCAGTCATCCTTGGCCAAGAGGATCTCTGGGACGTCCTACTGGGTGAGTGGTTGCTGGCTGGTCAGTGGATTAACACATACACTTGTACATGGACATTGACTTACATGTGTATGCATGTATGTGAAGTGGTTACTCATGCTCATACTCACAGACACACATACTCACAGAAATACATACACATGTGTGCAAACACATGCACACAAAAAACATTAAACGCACAAGCACACATACATACACATACATGCTTACTCACACATGCGCTTGCAGGCTCTCACATACGTGTGCTCACACACAAACACACACACACACACACACACACACACACACACACACACACACACACACA